TCCGACCACAAGGAAAATAGCAACGGAAATTGGCGTACATTGTGTGGGAGTGAGATAGCAGCGCAGCAAATGAGTGGACAATGAGAAGTACGACGAATGGGTGCAAAAGTGGGCCAGAAAATATAGGTGGCTTACTCATCTTTAGTATTTCAATTTTTGGATAGTGTTGACCTGCCTTTTGCCTCCTCTTTCCCCCATAAATTCAATTACTGCCAATATTTTCAAAGCGTGCAAACACACAAACTAAGACAACAAGAAAAACAACAGCAACACAGTAGTAAATTCAATTTTGTGTTATCCATCGATGTTTCCCCAGAGATCCGGAAAGAGACAGAGGGGAAAGAGATAAAGAGGGGGCATAAATTACCCCCTTTTCTCTCCGATTTTTGGCGTGCGATTTTTTGCACTTTTAGCTGGCACTTTGAATTGTGTTTGAAATTGGGGAAGCGAGATGCCAGAACCTGAGCCGAAACAAATAAAATGTGTGTGGATTACAAAATGCAATTGTTCACCACCCAAAAACCCCCTTTTGAATTCGGCAAAACAACCTTTTTGCCTCCCCGAAATTCATTCGACAAAATGTCAAGCCTGTCTCTGATATTTGTTTTATATTCTTTTTTATGAGGGTGTAACAATTTTTATATTCATAAAACCAGTTAAAAAAAAATAAAAAATACAGTTAAGTGTTCTAAGTTTTCCAACTTATTTTTCCAGCAAATTAATTTTTATTTTTATACCCTTGCAGAGGGTATTATAATTTCAGTCAGAAGTTTGCAACGCAGTGAAGGAGACGTTTCCGACCCTATAAAGTATATATATTCTTGATCAGCATCACTAGTAGAGTCGATCTAGCCATGTCCGTCTGTCCGTCCGTCTGTCCGTCCGTCTGTCCGTCTGTCCGTCCGTTTATATGCAAACTAGTCTCTCAGTTTTAAAGCTATCTGCATGAAACTTTCCCAAAAGTTGTCTTTCTATTGCAGGTAGTATATAAGTCGGAACGAGCCGGATCGGACGACTATAGCATATAGCTCCCATAGGAACAATCGGAAAAATAATTGAAAAAAAATTATAACTTTGCTGTTTTTTAATTTTTTGTTTAGTTCTTCGACATATAGCAATGGGTTTATAATTCAGAATTATGGTTTAAATTTCATCAAAATCGGACGACTATAGCATATAGCTCCCATAGGAACAATCGGAAAAATAATTGAAAAAAAATTATAACTTTGCTGTTTTTTAATTTTTTGTTTTGTTCTTCGACATAAAGCAATGGTTAAATATTTCAGAATTATGGTTAAAATTTCATCAAAATCGGAAGACTATAGCATATAGCTCCCATAGGAACAATCGGAAAAATAATTGAAAAAAAATTATAACTTTGCTGTTTTTTAATTTTTTGTTTAGTTCTTCGACATATAGCAATGGTTAAATATTTCAGAATTATGGTTAAAATTTCATCAAAATCGGACGACTATAGCATATAGCTCCCATAGGAACAATCGGAAAAATAATTGAAAAAAATTATAACTTTGCTGTTTTTTAATTTTTTTTTTAGTTCTTCGACATATAGCAATGGTTAAATATTTCAGAATTATGGTTTAAATACGCAAGTAAATCATAATTTTAATGTTTTCAAAAATATTTAATTCTTGCGATAGCTGCAAGGGTATATGAACTTCGGCTTGCCGAAGTTTGCTTTCTTTCTTGTTTACTATAAATATTATTTTTGTAGTTGCCTGTGTTACTGATTTTGTTGTTGGCTACTGGTTGCTGTGTAGATTCTTTTCTTAGCTTATAGGTTCTGAATTTTGGATAGCTCTCCTCTCGAAGTTCTTTCGTTTATCTCTGGTGTTTAAAAAGCAATGCTGTGGCTGCCGTTTGCTCCTCTTTTGCTCCTCCTTTTACCCATCTTTTTTACCTCATCTTCATTTTCCCCTTTCCAACCATTCAATTCGATTCCAGTTTTATTTGGCCTGCCTCTGGTTCAATTCCTTTCCATCGACAAGGCTCAAGGTGCAACCAGAAATTCGTTGGCTGCACAGAAAAAAAATATAGCTAATCGATAATTACGATTTAAATTTGTTTGTTATTTTTTTTTCTGATTTTATTTAGCTATAAAATTCTATATACGGACAAATGTCAATAAATATTGTAAATAAGAAGGCATTATAGTTTAAGGTGTTAAAAAGCTTTAATAAATGACGAAATGTGTCAATTTATTATCTTATCTAAATAAAACGCTTAATCACAATCAGAACAAATTTATAAGTATTTTATTGTCAGTCCTATAGAAACTTACTTTAAATGTACTTTTTAGTTTGAGATTTTTAACTTTAAATTAAATGTTTTCAGTGTGCAACTTTTGGTTTTGAAACAATTGCCCACACAAATCTCCCTTACTCGTTCTTTCCTTCTGCTTTTTGTTGCTATGCAAAAGGAGAAGAGGGAAAGGTGGGTGGAGAGAGAGGGGAGGTAAAAGAAGAGGTCGCAGCATTTGTCGCCATTTATATACACGATTAGAAATCGATTTTGTGCGTTCCCATATAGAATTCCATATGAAATGACAGCCGAAACGAACAAATACACCCAGACATACAGAAAGGGGGAGGTGGGTGAGTTGAGGGGTCGTGGAATAAGGGGGGCGGAACGGGCGTCATGTAAGGTCCCTCCTGTATGTGCCGTTATAATGATTTATGTTAAGCTTATTGCTCACACACACACATAAACAGAGTCGAGGGTGGTGCGACAGAGAGCGCACTAAATTGGAATCGATTTGTGGACAGAGGAAAAGCAGAACGAATAAGAAGAAGCAGCTGCAGGTTCAACCACAGTGGCGGCATCTGCCGGCCAAAATGGAATCGGAAATGCAAACGGGAATTTGAAATTGAACAAAAAGAAAAGTGCTATATCAACATTCTTAATGTTTTGATAAGAAAAGTTAATTAGGTTTCTAAAACTGTAAAATAAAAGGGAAAAAATTACAAAAACAAACTGAAAAGGCTGTTAGTTAGATGAATTGTAGAGAAAGAACACATTATTATGTTTATTATATTCAAAACAACTTGAATTAATTTAATCAGAAGATACAGTAGTAATTGATACCTTAGCTACAGTGGAAACTACTATATTTTGTTAATAACTTAATTTAATAACTTAAGCATTGGCCTTTTTTATTTTGCTACCTTGTTTATTTCTGTACACAAAGCAATTTATATAACTATTTTATAATGATATTAAATTAATTATATGGACCAAAATGATTTTGGTTTTGTCTAATTATCTTTATTAACTACACCTTATCACTACAATTTACCTTTTAACTACCCTCACAACTAGTATCGTTAACCGAATTTATATATTTCAAATACAGCCAACAACAAAAATAAGTGGCATGTGTGTTTATAAAACAAACAAAACAAGGCAAAAAGAAAACAAAAAAGTCAAAGAGCACCTAAACCAATTGATTAACAACTAAAAGTTCAACGCCGGCAATTAACGTGTAGAGGAAAATAACGAAATATGCCAAGAAAAGAGAAGAAGAACGAATTGGGGGAGGAGAAGGTGAATAGAGGAAGGGGAAAAGGGCCAAGGGAAAAGCGTATAAAATAAAATCCAAAGCCCAATCCACTTGCCGTTTTTTACTTGTTTTTCTCTATGTTTTGTATACCCGTATTTCTGATGTACGTACGTGTGTGTGTCCGCGAACTCTAGTACGAAACTAGCCTGCTTCTCCCCCTCCTCCCCACACTCCACCACCTTTACAATTTATATACAAACTCCAAGAGCAAAAGCAAAAGCCATTCGTGCGCAAATCTCAAATAAAAGCGCGCAGAACCAGCAACAACAAATAATATCAGCACCAACAACAATAAACGACGCCGACTTCTCTGCCACTGATGAATTGTATTTGTATTTGTGTGGGCCCAACACACTCACACACACGCACATCACATGCGGACAGGGCGGGCCAAAAACACAAAAAATAAAACCCAATATGAGCGCAAAAAGAAAATAAAAGAAAAAAAATTAAAGCAGAGGAATCGGTTTCGAGAGGTGAGTTGACTCCTCGAGGTGTCTTTGCCTCAGTCGCTGCCCCCTGCATTTGTCGCTGTATTTGTGGGAGTACAGTGAAAACTTCATAAATGGAATATGTTTTAAATTTGACTTAACTTTTAAGGCAAAAGTAAGCTTTAAGGATGTTTTTTTTAAAGGAACTAATTGCACGGCTTAACTAACATTTTATAAATTTTAAATTAAAATCCCAGAATTGGTTGTAAACTATTTAAAAAGCTAGTTCAATTAAAACTCTAATATAACTTTTTGAGTATTAAAAACATGGAAAAACAAATTCTCAAATAAAATTAATGTAATTTACTTAAAAACTTACTATTTTCACTTAACTTTCTTTTTAAATTTTTATATTTAAGATAATTAAATTATGTGTTAAGTTAAGTTGTAAGTGTTGAATATCTGCCAAATTTTTAAAGTTAAAGCTATTCATTTGCTCAGGACAAAATCTTAACACCACAAATGATATGATAGTTTTTCTACACAGAGGTTTCACTGTTTTTTTTTATGTTTGCTCTGACCAGTGTGCTTGTCTGTTTGTGTGTGTTGGCCCCGTCGTGTGCCACTGCTTGTGGCGTTTTCCAGAGTTCGCCGCTCGCTGTTCGCTGCTTTCCATTGCTCACTGTCACCGAAGTCAAGCCGAAAAAAGCAACAACAAAGGGAGTAGCAACAACAACAAGAAGTCTATGCACCATGTGGAACGAAATGAAATGGAATTTAGGACCGAAATCGGCGACGCTACTTCTTAGCTTCTTCTTTATCCGCTTCGGTTTTTCTGCCCGTTTTATTTGTTTGCGGTTAAAAGGAGTGGGGGAATAGGGGCGGGGTAATGAAAATGAGAGGGAGTGTAATGTTGAACTCAGTGGGAGTTCATTTTAGGGGTGCAATATCAATATTAAACTTTTAATTACATTTTAACATTTCTAACTCACCTTTTTTTAATTGTTTAACCGGCTTATCGCTGATTGACTTTCTTTATTGCTGCCCAATTATTTGTCACCCACTCTCACAAACACAAACTTTTTTTTTGCAATTGCTGGAACTTTTTTGCTTTTGGTATTTCTCCTTCCGATTTTGGACACCCATACAAATACCATACAATTTCGCCGCGGGCGTTTTTCCTTTTAATTTATCCGCCTTTTCTTTTCCTTTGGCGATGATTTTCACTCGAGTGTCACTCTGTTCCACCCGCACACGCGCAATTTCCAGCGATTCGCGAGGTTTGCAATTTTGCTTTTTTTTCGCTTGTTACGTTTTTCGATTTGATTAATGAAACATATTGAAAAGACACGACGACGCTCAGAAATCAATCATAATTACTGTTTACTTTGTTCGCTGATAGATAAGATTTTAGTTAAGTTTATCGTTTTATCCTTAAGCACCGAATTTAAGCGTCCGAACGCTTCGAGAAAAAAATTTTTCTGTCGAAAAGAGAGAAAATTGGATACTATTTTATGTTTTTGCTCTCTTCGATTTTCGCTGCAAATGCTATGTGTGAGCTCTGTTAATTAACAGAGGTGGGAGAGCGACCAAAATGTGAGCATAAAAGAGAACGAGAGTGGCAATGAGAGAGCGGAACAAGATGGAAAAGAAACAGCATCTTGCAATTGTAGTTGTAGAATCAAACAAATAAACACACACACATTAAACTATCTATTAATCATTTAATAGTCATCCAAATTATTAAGAATTTAGCAGTAGTTAATTTTAAGCCCGCAACCGCCTTTTGATTGACCAAATAATAACAAATACAAAAAGTAAGCAAGTCGCTTTGCTTTAAAGTACAGTTTTCAGGTAACTTTACCACCTGTTCACACAGACAACCACACACACACACTCAATAAGTCGGCTTACTCACACCGCTTTTGGCCGTTTTCCTGCGACTCTTACCAAATCGTCAATTCTTTATCAATTCGACCAGTTCAGCCACTTAAACGAAATGCAAATCCAATTCCCAGAGCAGCGGAATAGGCGGACAGGTGGTTAACTCAACGGATTAAGACATTTCACGGTGGCGAGAAATATGCAGTTTAATTGTAATGGCAATGGCCATATGGCTTGGAACGATTTACAGCAATTTAATTAATCTAGTAATATCATGTTCCTTTGAAAATAAGGGTTTTACAAATAAATGTACATGATTTAAAATAGAAATAAAACCAAAAGATAAGGGTATAAGATATTTTGTGAGTTGAAACACAAACAGATTTTGGCGCTTTTTTAAAGTAAAGCCTGTACAAATTTGAGTATTTTATGTTAAAATAGCCCCTTTTTTTTAATGAAACCACTGCTAGTTATCAATAACAAATATTTACTTTAATGTTTAAAGGCAATAATAAACTAAACTACCAGCCGGGCTTAGAAGTTGAACGTGAGCGGATGGACGGGGAAGTAGCCCTTGCTCTTGGTCAGTTGTTTGGAGAGTCGCAGCAAGTTGTTGTCGTTGTTGACGAAATTGCCGCCATAGATCTGGGTGCAGAGGGTGTGGACGCGATCCCTGCCCTCCGAGCAGATCGCAGTGGCCGTCAGCAGTTCGTGATCGGCCAGTGAAAGGCCAATGCAATAGGATCGCGAAGCCCTCGCCACACTGGCCCACATGGCATAGATGATGGTGCCCACCTCCGCCAGTCGATGCATTTCACTCTGGCGCTCCACCACAGCATTGCCATGCCGGGTGAACATCAGCTCCACGGCCATTTGCAGCCGGGCCACCGAGTGCTCAATGCACTGGGCTGCCGCCTCCAAAGATGGATGCACATGCTCCGAAAGCTGCATCTTTGTCTTGGGACTGTCGATGCTGTTGGTGTCCAGGAACTTGCCAAATATGTGACCAGGATGGAATAGGGGATTCCTGGACTTACGCACACCCGTATTCATGGCTTGCTGTAAAGAAAAAAGTTTTTAATGTAATTAAAAGGTATATATATAATGGTTATCACAAACTCACGCCCGAATGTTGCAATCCTGTGAGGGCGATGAACATGCCCAGGGTGTCCAAAGATTCACCCTGCGTGCACAGCTGAGCTGCATCTCGAAGTCCCAGTTCGGTGGCCTCGCCGCTGAGCAGACTCTTGGGTCCCACGAGGCCAAGATTCTGGGAGGCAATCTCGTACAGCTGCTGCAATGTGAAGTACTTGGTGATGGCACTCTCCAAGGAAACATCCTGGGCACGGAACTCGTCCAGCAGGCCGGCGGTCATGTAGATCATGCTCTCCATTGCATATACCGAGCACATGGCTCGGGAAAGGTGCACACGGGTCAGCTCCAGGTCTCTTTAAGAAAAAAATAACAAAACAAGTTTTAACTTCAAAATTGTAAATAAAAGTAATCCAATTGATTTGATACTTTTATTAAAATGTATTTAAATTGATAACCATATTGAAATATATTCGTTATAAACATTGTATTGAAATAAAATGGATTGAAAAATATTATTGAAATATATATTTGATTGGAAAATTGTATTGAAATGTATTTGATTTGAAAATTTGATTGAAAAATATTTGATTTAAAAATTGTATCGAAACATAACCTTGGTTACTTTTGGAAATACCTTAAAATATTAAACTTTTATGTTTTTAGTATAAGATCTAAACACTAAAAAACATCTTAGATATATATTAAAGCTTTAAAGATAAATATATTACTTTATGAGTCGTAGTTTTTGATTGAACTTGATTTCATATTTAGCGTTGGTTATAAAAGTTCTATAACACAATGTTTTTAATTCAATCTTGAATATTTTAACTTCTTTCGCTGTATTTTTAACCTTTCATGTTTTTATTTTGCCTATTTAAAACATAAAGTGCTAAGATGAATGGCCCATTTAAAAAGTAACCCTCGGCAATTATTATTTAAATTATTGTTAGCTTAGAAAAACGTACACCTTCATTACATAATTTACATTCTAGACCAACTAATAGGTTGAAAAAGAAGAGCCTTTTGAATAATACAGGTAATAAGTAAGTTAGCTTATTGAAGGCATTACATAAATAGTTTAAAAATCATGAAATTTGAATTCTTTGTAATACAAAACTTGCACTTACTTCAGTTGAACTCCACACTGAGTGGTTGTCACGCTGTATTGGGCCAGTTCGTTGAGCAGTTTCTTGGCCAGGGACACGCCCACCAGACTGCTCCTCAGTCGGGATGATCTAACCAGTTGCTCCGATATACGATTGCCATCGTGTGGGATGCCCACCACCTGCTCCTCGCTTAACGTAACCCGGTCAAAGTGGACACGTCGAATTTCAGCTTGGCGGCAACCAAAGGTGGCATGTTGCTCACCCAAACGCACACCTTCCTGTTGGGAGTCAACCAGGAAGATGGTGGTGCCACGTCCCAGAGCTCCCGGGACATTCGGCTGTTGGGTTTGCGCCAGCACAAGGAAAAGCTGTCGCTCCCCCGGAGTGCAGACCACAAAGGCTTTTTCGCCATTGAGCGACCACTTTCCGGTCTCGGGCAGCAACTCTGCCTGGGTGCTGAAGTAATCCTCCTCGGGCGGTGAATACTCGTAGATGGCTTCGGTGGCCATCAGTTTGCCCTGGGCCAAATCCGGCAGGTATCGCTGCTGCTGCAGTGGAGTGCCCACTTCCTTGAGGAGATCCACAACCACGCGGTGAGTTTGCAAACCCAGAGTCACATTCGTATCCGTTGAATCCGGTTCACTGGCCATCAGGCTGGCACTCCATCCATAGCCTTTGCCCTCGAAATCCGTGGGCACATTCAGGCCATAGAGTCCCAATTGCCGGAGAGTCTCTGTGGATGTCTTCTCCTCCGTTTCCCGGGGCTCCGCAAAGTAGTTCTTCAGGGGAAGTAGGGAATTCTGCAACTGGGACATCTCCTCGCGAGGTATCACCTCCGGATAGGCCAGCAGTTCCTTGTCCACCACTCCAATGAAGAAATTCTTGGCCAGCGGCTCCCTGGTGGGCAACTTTTGTTGCTGCTCCGGCGACTCCTCGACGGATTCCGATTTTCCGCCCTCGGTGGTCGCCGCATCCTGGTGCTGCGAGTCCAAGCTGCTCGAGGTCGCCTTGGTGCTCTTTCCTCGACTCAGAAGTTTTCCATTCCGGCCGTATTTTAAGAGCCGCGAGGCGCCGGAAAACAAATTGGATCGCATATTTACCAAAAAATTAGGTAATTTGCCACAGTGGGACCAGCTCAAAATTGGGAAATTGGGTATTGAAACATATGAGCGGTGCTTGCTATAAATACCCTAACGCGTTGATCAGCTGTTTGGCGTGCTATAAAAATTTGAAATTCATAACGGTTATTTTTGTATTTTAAACAAACAAGGGTTTTAAATTAAATTAGTAGTTAAAAACTATATAATTTATATTATATTATGTAATACATTTTATATTTTAACAAATTTATAAATTTAGCACTTATACAAAAATTAAATATTAATATTGAAAATAAGGAAAGTCAAATACTAGTTAGTTGTGTTTTATTAAACCAATAAACTGAATTAATTTGTATTAGTTAAGCGTTGTAAAACTAAAAAAAAAACTTATCCCTAGTTTTATTTCCAAGTTTTATAATTTTTTTTGTTTACTTTAGAATTTGCTTTTAATTTATTAATACGTGTAAGTAATTTTTTGTAATTGATTTACTTTGTTTTTAAATTCCAACATTTTTAGTTGAGTCCGCGACCTCCTTGAGAATAAAAAACACACTTTCCCTTTATTGAATCATTGTATTGTATATTGGTGTTATTGTTACACATATAATTGCTATTGACAGCGCACATTAAGCTCTCTACTTAAAACAAATTGAACAAAGTAAATTGTATGATTCCCGGTCGATGGGTTTAATGCATATTCCCATCGACTTTGCTTTATTGTTTCGCTTGGATTTTTTTGTTTTGTTTTGTTTTGTTTTCTAAATGTTATATTTTATTTGTTTTTCATACCACCTAGATTGAAAATTTGTTAATAGCTGTGTAGTACGTTGTTATACAATAGTTATAGTCAGGTATCAATTGGAAAATTAGAATTTGGTTAGAATTCAACACATCTAGATCAGTAATAGTGTAGTACAAATGTGCCTGAAGTTTGCGAGGTGTTTTTTCTATAAAAACTCCCCGATTGCATGGCGTGCAAATAAACTCCAAGCACTTGTTGCATATGGAGAACACAACAAAACAAGAAATAAAATAAACGGGGAAGGAAAACGACAAAAGTGTAATTGTCAATTGTATTTAACTAAAAAAAACTCTATTAGAATTACCCCCCACATGCAGCTCATATCGTATCACAGGCACGCTTAATAGACACTCTCAGAACGGAAATACCAAATTAGAATCGAAACTAGAAGGTAAACTCATTTCAAACTTGCACTCAATGAAAGGGTTCTGTTTTCATTTTTGTAATTTCTGTGGTTAAAACACACTACACACTAACAACAACGATCGATATGAGCGTGCGCATCATCAACCATGCTTCCTTCTTATCCTGGCCCCCAAAAAACCTACTGCAAATCGCTGACTCCAGACTCCTTCACAAAATTGCCATTTAAAATTGCTGACGCTACTCGACGATTATACATATGGTACATAAATATATATTTAAATATATATATATATATATATTGTATGTGATATCTGCATGTTTGCCCTATATACGTAGTTATCTCCCTTGCGTTTACACACTCACACATTGCATAGTTGTTTTTTTTTAGTATTGCTAATTGCTCCGCACTTTAGATCCTCATCATGTGAACCACGACCCCCCAAAAGATATAGTAACAGTTCGATTCGGAGATACGATAAACGGACACAGATAGTTTTGCTTCGCTCTTCTCTGACTGACCGACCAATTCGATTCGATTCGATTGCTTTTTCATATTCAACATTTTTTTACTTTCGCAGTGTTTTTTTCACACACATTTTGCCAGTAATTCAAATTCAAACTAAACGCATATATAGAGAACCTCATGCGAGAGGTGGAATACCAAAAAAAGAATTTTAAGAGAAACTAAACTTAGGGATAGATTAAACGATAACTAGTAAAGCAGTTGGTTGGTTGGTTGTCACACACACACACAGGAGTTTGTTTCACCTCCTGCCCTCCGCCTCCTCCGCCTGCTCCGCCTGCATCGACTCCTTCTCCTGATCAGCTACAATTGGTATCTGGGCCACTGCCAGAGATCCCGAGGCTCACGTTGCTGCCATTTATCGTGGAGCTGCTTGCACAGGCGACGCAGCAGCTCGATTGTGCCGCCGAGGGCTTGCAGTAGCTACTAAATCCGGCCGGCGCTCTCCTGTCGCGCACTGTAACGCGGCTCGGCGGGCATCAGAGTGTCCGTCACCAGCTCGTTGGGTGCCTCCAGAACGCCCTTGGCATGGGCAGCCGCCGTATCGCAATCGGTGCGGCGTGAGATCAGCAGGCGAATGTCCGTGTGCAGGCACAATCGTCCGGAGCGAGATGTCTGGAACCTGGGGATCACAAAGGTGAAGTTAGTTAAGATAGAAAGAAGACTTTTACAAGTTCCCTTAAAGCTGGTTGTAAACGATGCAGCGGCTGCACTTATAGCTGCGCTCAAAATAATAGTAGTTGCTTAGCTTATGGAATTACCTATCAAAAATAGTTTGAAAGCAACTTTTGAAAAACTTTTTGATACTAAAAACTAATTGGAGCAAATATAAAAGACTGCATTAAACATAGTTATTAGATTTAAAAACATTTATAAGTTTAGATTTCGATTTTTTGTTATAATTAATTTTAAAAGTATATCATATACTAAAAACATTTTTTATTTGTCCAATACAAAGTGCAGAAGATTGAGGATTTATAGCTATTTTCTCAAATTTTGATAAAATCAAATATTACAGTATTTGGAAAAGTGAACTTAAAGAAATTAAAAAGGATTTTTGAAAAACTACAATATTAAAAGTTGTTTTTAAATTAATTTTTGTTTACTCTCAGGTGATCATTATGAAAAATTTAACCACAGATTTATGCCTTTAATTTCTATTTCTTAGCACTTGTTGCTTTGACTCCAACATCAGATAACTAACAAAATTTCCTTTATTATAGGCACTTTATATGCTACCGCTTCATCGTTTACAACCACCTTAGGCAACTCAATGATTTACCTCAGGTGTATGGAGTAGCGCAGCCGTTTCATTTGCTCGGCACTGATAAAGTGTCCCAGTTTACTGGTGGTGCTGGTAACTGTGGGACTCCGGGGCATCTTCGGAGCTGATCCTGATCCTGCCTCCTGATCCTGGCCAAGCTCCTCGGCCAGGATGCGCTGCCGTATGAAGGTGCGGTGCAGCGGGGGCATGTCCCGCATGTCGTAGGGTATCACAAACATCCGCACCACCGTGCCCATGGGATTCAGCAGTGTGGCCTGCACCGTGCCCGTCCTCGGCACCGAATAGCCCTTGCGTGGCAGACGAATCTCACACTGCAAAAAACAGATTTCACCATATTCGAATTACAGTTGAACCATCACTTCCTTAATTCTAATCCTCTTGAAAATCTAACTAAATTGAAGGAAACAAAGCGTTAAACTTGTTTATGGAAATTTCTTTTTTGGCGACTGGGACTAAAATTGGCACCATTTTTTATTTTATTTTTTAACAGAAAATAAAACAATGGAATTTAAAAAAAAAAAAAACAAATAAATTATTTATATTTCAACAAAAAAAAAATTAATTTTTCTTTCTTTAGGTTTCTATAAAAGTATAAAATATTAAGCAATGGAAGTGATAATATGAGAAAAAATTATATTCTAAATACTCTAATAAGTAAATTTAAATAAAACATTCATATTTTATTGAAAAAATCAGTTTTTCTTTTTTTAAATTTAAACAAAACTTTATAGAGTGCATCAAACAATAATTTCTTTCTAATTTGTATATCTGTGTGACTAAATTTGGCAGCTTTAAAAGTATAAAACATAAATCAATGTAAACGAAACGATGATTTTCTTAATACTCCAAATAGAAAACTTAAATATAATATTCTTATTTCATTGAAAAAATCATTTTTTCTTTCTTTAAATTTAAACAAAACTTTATAGAGTGCATCAAAACAATACTTTCTTTCTAATTTGTATATCTGTGTGACTAAATTTGGCAGCTTTAAAAGTATAAAACATAAAGCAATGTAAGTGAAAAGATGATTTACTTAATACTCCAAATAAGTTTACTATTTATATAATATTCTTATTCCATGGAAAAAATCATTGTTTCTTTCTTTAAATTGAAATAAAACTTTGTAAAGTGCATAAAACAATACTTTCATGTGCCCCAAATCTTTTTTATTTATTTATATAGACTCACCAAATAGGGAGTGCTCAGCGTCTCGCCATGCAGCTCGTAAAAGTATGACACCGCCGGTATGGTCAACTGGGTGGGACAGAATCCTCCAGAGGCGCCCAACTGCAGCTTGAAGCCCATCACCTCGATCTTGGGCATTAACCGCCGCTGCAGCAGCGATTCCTCCAGATTTCCCAGCAACGGACGCCCGGCGAAATGAGCCGCCAACCTGGCGCGACACTTCAATGGGGAGCCACCGGCCGGACTGCATAGACCCGATTCCAGATCCTCATCCGACAACTGCTCATCGGAGCCCAAGGAACTACGATCGCTGCGATCGCTCAAATGACGCGAACGCCGCTTGTGGGCGGCCAGCGCCTGTTTGGCAAATCGCGGCGATACGGACAACGAAGCGGCATGTGGCAATGTTGGTGCCGAAAAGGATTTCTGCACCGGCGGCGTGGCACTCGCATCCGCAGCCAACAACTGCGAATGGGCATGACTCAAGGCAGCCGGATCGAAACTAAAAGCGGGACAGCCAATGGCAATGGGTGCCGAACTGCAGAAGATTGTCGTTAGGTTCACTTTGGGCAAAGCCTTACGCATTTGTGGCGACACATTCGGCGGCGGCGTTTCGCTGTCCAACAGATTGCCATTGCCATTGCCATTGCCACAATTTAAACGAAGCTGACACGGTTTCGGTGAGGATTTGCCTAGCTGTTGCTGCTGTTGCAGTGGCACCATTGCATCCGGTTGAGGTTTCGCCGGCACATGGCTAAGCGGCGTCTTGAACTGCACCACTATGTGATGGTCGGGCGGCGGTGGCGTCTTGCAGCGCTCTGCGCCATTCAGCGAGCAGCGTTCAATGTTGGGCGTCAGTTTGGTGGATGCAATCTGCAAAAATAAATTTATTAGTAGTAGTAGTAGTCAGGGGCGTGGCAGGGTCTCACCTTTACCTCAGTTTGCTTCTCCAATTCCAATTCCAATTCCAATTCCAACTCCGGCTGCATGCTGCTGCTGGCAAAACCATTGCTCGGCGAATGCTCGCCGCCATTGGTGTGAATGGGTTTGTGCTCCTTGCCATTGGCAAAGTTGTGCTGCGTCTTCTGCCGCTTGCACACCTGACAGCCACTGGGCATGGCCTTCACAACCACATTGTTGTTCTGCCCGCCATTGAGATCTGAGTTGCGACACGCGTTGCCCGCCTGATGGGGCTTTCGATGGCGGTTCTTTGGCGTACGCTGGATGGCCTGCAGCAGAAGCTCGGCCTTGTTGCGCGGTGTGCCCACAATGAGATCGCTGCTACTGAGGCTACACGTTGAGGTCTCTTCCATTTCGGACGCTGTTGTATCGCTATCATCGGCTTCGTCTGCTTCACCCGTTCTGCCAGCTGATCCATTTGCTCCTCCTGTGCAACTTAAACAGAGCAGTGTCTTCTCACTGCCGCACTGCTGGCAGCTGCTCAACGAAGTCTGTGTCCCTGTGGAGATCATGGCAATGCGTCGTGGTTGCTGCAAAGTCAGGGCCAAAGATTGGCTTTGGCTTTCCGATGGCGTCTGAGATTGCGATTGCGATGGCGATTGCAAATCCTCACCCTCCTCCATGGGCTCCTCGGTTTGGTGTGGCCGCTGATTTGACATCCTTTCGGGCGTCGTTTTCCTCTCCCTTTTCTTGTCCCTGCGCTGCATTCGCTTGCGATACTTTTGCAACTGCCTCTCGCGATGACTCAAACTCGTATCGCCATCGAGTTCGTCCAGTCCGTCCATTGCTGGTCTTCCATTATCACAGTTGGAACCATTTATGCTGCTGGCCATTGTCGTTGGGGTGAGGGCACTGATCCGGGCACCCAGGCCAGTGGGCGTGGCGGCATGTAGACCACCGCCACCAGTGGGCGTGCTGGCCGGATCGCCGGTGCAGGCGTGACGCAAACTACGCGGTGCTGGAGTCGGTGGCATTGGTGGCATTGGTGGTGGCTCCACATGCGGCAGGCCACCATTTATCCGGGGCAAAGTACGCACACTAACCGAGATGCTGTAGCTCTCCGAGACATTGACGTTGGGAAAATTGTGCACATTGGCCTTGGCACTGAAGCCATCGTCGTGGTGTAGCCCACCACCGTTGGTGTTGTGCTGCTTGATCCTGTAGAAGATGTTGAGGCGCGGTCTCTTCTGACCACCACCACCACCACCACCACCAGCAGCAGCAGCACTGTGTATGGGTGTATGGCTGGTGGCCAAGTCGCCGGCATTGTTGCTTATGTTGCCGCAGCTGGAGAAGATCACACGGCCACTGTCGTACACCGAAGGATCGCATTTCCGGAGCAGATCACACCAGGCCACAATCTGCGAGAAGTACAATTGACTCCGAATGGCGCTGCACAGCGAAGGCAACGTCATCGTTGGTGGAGGAACTCTATAATTGAATGAATCCCATATTAGTTCTGTACATTATTCTGTTCATTATTATTGTTGTGTACAACTCACTTCTCCTTGCCGCTGATGATCCACTGCTCCAGCAATAGCTTATGGCTCACGGGACCCAGATAGACCTCGATGCAAACGGGTTCGCGTCTGGCCAGGATGGCCTCCATCTTCATGCAATATGCCCGCCAACGATTGCACTGCAAAAACATACATTTTTTCTTGTTGTTAATTGTTGAGTGTATACAAATGGAATGAAAACAAAGTGCCAAATAAATATTAGTTTATGATTTGTTAGCTAACTAATTGCAATTTAAACAACAAAACGCTCTATCTAGTTCGACATTATAAGTTAATTTAATAACAATACTTAAGCTCTTCTTTATTTGTTTTATAAATCTATGTATTTATTTGATGATGATTTATTGTTAAAGTGATAAAAGGTTCTGAAATAAATATACAATGATTAAATTAAGACTTGTTCAAATACATTAAATATTTGCTTTAGATTTTGCAGGTTTTTTTAAACTCATATAATGGCCAAACTAACTTTGAAATATTTAATAAGTTTTACTACATTTTTGCATTGCAAAGTTTATTTTATTAAATTGTTAAGCATACAATAATTTATTTAATATTTATTTATATATGTAATATCTTTTAATCTTGAATTAAATATACAAAAAAAAAATTTTAACGTTTTTTAGTATGTCATTTTTTAAATTTAAGTAATTTCAATGAATTTTTATAATTGTTTTGGTATTTGTCATTTTAAAACATAAGTAATATCAATGAATTTTCAAAAATTGTTCTAAAGTTCAATTGCTATGGATTTTGCTAAATAAGAAAGTAATTTTTTAATAAATTTTAATGTCTAATGTCTAACAGATTTTAAAAATCTTAGATAATTTAACTTTTAAATTTGATTAAATAATTAATACTTTTAAATCTTGAATAATATAAGTATCATAAACATATGTTTGTTAAAGGAACTAAGCCCTAGTTTTGTTATAAAAAATATCCAACATGTTTTTATACCCCAATTATAATATAATAACATAATCTTTAAAACCTGACGGCGACTTACGGTCATATTCACGTAGGACATATCACAGATGTGCTCCTCAGCCTCCGATGGCATCTCGCCCTTGGCCAGACCCATCTTCCTGAGGAACTGATCACAGTGCGGCCCGTGTTTGGGCCGCGATGCGGAGCTAGTTGCTCCGCTGCTGGCAGTGGCAGTTGCCGTTGTTGTTGCTGTTGTTGTTGTTGTGTTGCTAATGCAAGCTGCTGCTGCTCCTCCTCCTAGTCCACTTCCTCTGCCAGCAGATCCGCCTGATCCTGACCATAGAAAGGCCAGATTCAGAGGACGTGGCTCAACAGGTGGCGGTGCCAAGGCGGGTCCACCTCTCAAACATGTGGTGGCCAGCGATTGCAGCGAGTGGAGTATGTTATCCGATGAATTGGAGCCCGGTGAGCTGGCGGCACTGGAGTTGTTGGTTCCACCACCACCGCCACTGGCATTGCCAACCAAACCCAAACCACCAGCTCGATTGAGCATCACCCGCCGTACAATCTCGTAATCGCCGTGATCCTTGTTGAGCTCATTGATGGCCAGGGAAACCAACTCCGGTTCGGCACTCATTGTCTGGGCAGCTGGCGAGATCTGACGCAACTGGCAGAGTTTCTGTGTCCAGCGCTGGTGGGTTAGCGAACTGCTGGGTGACCCCGTCGCCGATCCCGTTCCACTTCCATTGGCCGATCTGTTGTCCGATCCTCCCATCGATCCATAGGGATTCGTTGTGATGTTGATGGCCGCCCTGGAAGTGGAGGGTCGTGGCGATAGGCGTCCGCCACCAGATCCTGCACCAGTGGCTCCTCCCACTCCGAGTCCGACTATGCCTATGCCCACCTGTTGCTGGGCATACTCGTCGTCTGCGATGGGACGACCCTCAAGGATTAGCGATGCCAGGCCCAACACAACGGAGCTGTAGTTGTTCTGAGCAGCTCCCGATCCTCCGTTCGACCCACATCCAGAGATGCCGGCCATTGCCAGGCCGGACAACATCCCGCCACCCGCCGCCGCCGTTGCTGAGCCCAAGGAGGCAGACGCTCCATTTTGGCCCAATCCCGCTGGCGGCGGTGAGTTGGTCACGCTGGTGGGTATCATGGTCGGTCGGTCGGTCGGTCGGTTGGTTGCCTGTCCGCTGGATCTGGAGATGTTTCCGGTTCCGGTTCCGTCTCCGATTCCGATTCCTCTAGCTATTGCTGCTGCTGCTGCTTCTTGCACCAGAAGTACACTGTAAATGGAGAAGGAAATGGTCAATAAAATGGTTTTTATATTACAATTAAATATATAATACCTATATCATAAAAATATATTGTCATAAAATAGATTTGACCATTATGTATGACTCTATTTAAAAAAAAATACAACAAATACAATACTAACTTGTTATATTTAATCTAAACTTGACATATTATTGTTTAAAATCATATTAAAATGCAATTAAAAGAGTTTAGCAAATGATTTTTAAAGGAAGAATTCCCATTATTAACACAGAATTAATATACTTAATAAAGCTTTTAGATAGTGTTGTTTAATTTCGATAAGAACGACTAGTATTGTTCAATAATTGCCATGAGATAATGCAAGAGTTTTAGAAAATATATATTAATTATTATTGTGAATAAGTTAGGCATTGTAAGCTAAACAAACCAACCGTGTGATTTCCTTTGCAAAGTTATGTAAAATATGCCAAGTTCTAAAACAACAATCACTCTTTAAGTTAAAGAACTGGAATTATGCAATTTATTCTTGCTATTTAAAAAGTTTGTCTTATATCTATAGAATTTTAAATTGTCCTCACACTTTTGTTTAAATATCCTTGACTCCATTATGAAATCTGCAAGGCTGCTCTATAAACAAGCCCAGCAACAGATGCAGCTGGCAGATTGCGACCCCACCTCCGCCCACCACCCACTGCAACTGGCGAAGGTCGAATGGCGAGAAGAGGAGCACCCTCAACTTGAATCGAACCCCCAAGGCCTTTCCACTATATACTTGGGCATTATGTACTGCTGACATGGTTTACTTTTAGCTATATCCTTCCGATCCGGAAGCAACAAAAGGCCAGTCGTTGAATTCTCTTGGCCAATTGTTTAACTGCGACACACTGACACGGCCCCATTTTGGCCTGAAATCATCATGTGAACTGCACTAAACACCGAACACATACTAAATAGCCGAGAAAACCGAGAGAGAAAAAAAAAAAAAGACAGAGTTGGAAACCAGGTCGTTACTTAACCGGAGACCCAGTTAGGAGCAACATGTCAGCCGTTTGGCAATGCACAATGCATCACCACCCCCTTCCCTTGCTCTTCCGCCCGCCCCCTCGAAATTCGCACAGGTCGACAGCTAACAAATGCAGAGAACATGTTGCTAACGGCGTGACGTCATTGAGCCAAGCTTTGCAAAAGCATTGCATTAATATTGGTGTGCATCTGTGTGACGCTTTGAAGGTCGTTTTGTGGCGCCTTCTATGGTAAATGCTCTATAAGTCGATATGGATAATAATACTTATTTTATTTATTTTTATTAATTCGGACTTTAAAAACATAATTCTCTTTTATTTTTCATTATGTTTATAAAGATTTTAATTTAAAAAATATTTTTTTTAATGTTTCCTAAATGAAGAACAATCGTAGAGCACCAAGATAATTAAATAATTCAGATAATTTTTATCTGACTAAGAGTGTACATGTATTTTAATTAATCTTATTTCGGTTATTATTGCAATAATTGGCAAAGCTTTGGGGAAGAGTACAAAGGCTGGCTGTTGTTGTGCAAGCTCTTCTTGCGTTTTGCAATTCCATTTTAGCGTTTCTTGTTATTATTTCTATTTTTTGTTTACTAAAACTTTGCTTGACAACAGTGAAATAGCAAATTGAAAAACAAAACCAAATTAAGAGGCGTGCAACATGTTGCTAGGGAGAGTAGCTCTCTTCAGTAAACATGTTTGTCTTTACTTTTGCTTTTGTTTTTGCGTTTCTTCTTGACCTGCATACACAATATATAACTAGCGCGCGAGACAGACACACATACATAAGGCCAAAAAAAAGAGAGCGAGAGAGCTTTTGACTTCCCTCTGTGTTTGTATTAGAAAACATCTGATTTTTGTATTGCTTTGCAATGTTTGCTGTGCGTGCGTATGTGTTGAGTTTTGTTTATGGCACATTCACGTATATACATATATATATAAAATACTCTTGGCCCACAATAGACAAACACATACAGACGAGAAAACCCGTATGAAAATGGGGACAAGCAAGCTCCGTTCGCCAGAGTTTAATAATATTTCGATTACATTATGGCCAATTTTTTTCCCTTCCTTTCAGCTGTCCATTATCATTTGCATTTCATCGCAGGCGGAAAATTCGCTTTCCACCCCGAAAATTGAAAATTTACTCGATGACGCAGTGGAAACGTGCTACGATTTTCAAGGAAATGTCAGGAAATGACGGACGTGGAAAATCGCTGGGGACACCTTGAGAATTGGATTTTATCGAGCTGTTAAAGCGAGTTTATTTTTGCCAAATTCTAAATACGTCATTGGACTTTGGTAGAAAATTGCAAATTAAATTGAAATCTATATACATTAAATAAGCTGGTAAAATATTAAATTTTTCCGGAAAAAGTCCTAAATAAAGTTTAAAAATGTCATGTTTAATATATTAAATAATTATTTTTCTAAAATAAATATATTGTAAATTATTCACTATTATTAAATACGTTTTTTGCTATTAGGAAGCGGAATTGTTTATCTTGAGTCTATTATTTTGGTTGTAAGCGGGAAATTGCTAACTAATTGTTGCATTCTACAATTTTGTGTACATTGTAGTGTAATTATTGGCACCAGGAAATCTTTAATTCTAGCTGAAATAATTGCTTTTTAAGGTAAAAACAGATGTAATAGTAATTGGCAGCGAATTAAAGAAACAGCAATTAAGTTGATCGAAAAAAGTTTGTCATATGGTTGTATTTCCACCTTTTTCCTCCTCGATTGGCACACTTTGTTGATTATTTTCAGAGCTTCTTGGCAATGTGATCGAGTAGGTTGCAAATGGGGGGAGGTTAGGGGCGGAAAAGGGGGTGGGCGGGGAGCGCATTGTTGGACTAATTTCATTTAGCTCGGCCACCGTCCTTGGCATGCTTTTCGATTTTGCAACACGCTGCATTTGTGTTCGTAGATTGTCTTGCTTGAATTATTTATTTATTGCATATTTTCGTTTCATTTGATTTTTTCTCATTTATTATTACGTCTTTTTCTCATTTTTTGACGCACATTACAAAATTTGATTACCAAGCGGAAAATGCAGGCGAGGCAAATGGTAAAAGGAAAACGAATGGAAACGGGAATGAAAATATTACAACTTTGACTTGTATACCCTTTACTCCCGCAAATAACCGTTTAAATAAAACACTTAAGTATTTAAAAAAACATATTATAAGTTAGATCGCTTGATTTAAAATGTTCATTTTTGTTTATCTAAGAATTTCTACAATGATATTGAGATTATATAATAGATTGTTTCATATGACACATTTTGAAAAATTTTTTGTAAACATCGTTGAAATACAAAACAAATTGCAGAAAACCCCTATAATACTAATATAACCCACATATAATACCTTCTTCAAAAGCAAACAAATCGAACACGAAAACCAAACTTTTGAAGGCGCGCCAAGCGGAGTGAAAGGCAGGTAACGAAAACCACCGCCAGGGGCGCTGCACAAAAACACAAAAAAAAAACCTGTTCAAAGCAGATTTAAAAAAAAAAAAAAAGAAAAGCCACCGCGAGTGGAAAATTGTTATGTTGCAACTTTTCAAAAAAACAAGTTCCGTTCGCCTTTCGTTTGTTTTGGGGTTTCCTTTTCTGCGTCCCCCTTTTCGGCATTATGAAACCAAAAAAAAAAGTTAACACGTGAGTGCAACGAAAGCGACAAACAAAGAAAACCGTTTTTATTTGCTTTTAACATCATCTTATATGATTGTGTTTCACTTTAGTCATCCCGTAGAATGCGTCACTTTAAAGTTAAATTATACTTATTCTCGTTAGCTGCAGAAGTTCGTTAAGTGGAGGATGTGTCATCTAAAGCGGAAGCGGTAACAAGACTATAATGATGGAGTGAGAAGATCAGATGAAACATTTTTAAGATCTTTTAACACATATCAGATATCAAGTTAATTTTGGATAATTTTTAGTACAATAAGTTATGAGTTTCACAAAAATAATACAATTTTTCAAGTATTTTATATAATCAACAGCTCTTTAATTTCTTTAGACGTAAGTGTTTTAAAAATTAACATTACCAATGCGTTTTTCAAAAGATTTTTTTGTAAAGTTTTCATTTTCCAAAAAGTCGACAAAACAATCGCTTTTCCAAACACTGATTGACCTCGCTGTCGACCTTACAAAGAGCCCATTCTGTGTTTGTGTGCGTGTTTGAATACTCATGTGGTGGTGACCCTCCCAATCATAAACCTTCACAGCTGAGCGAGCTTTGTTTTTTTTTTGTTGTGTTTCTAGGGGGCCGCACCTTCAATGGGTTACATGTACCCACCCCTTTTATCACCCATCCTCTCAATGCCTGTATCTGAATTTCTCGCTTACGGAACAAAGAACATATTTGTAGGGTGACTTGGACTTATCAACATGGTCATGTGATGAAAAATTGTATCGATTCATACCTTCTGAAAAACCTAAGTTCTTTCACTACATTTAACCTGTATAGTTTGAAAACTATCGTAGTATTGTAGGGTGATGACTGATGACCAGGAAACAACCTTTCTTTTAAATAAATCTTTCACTTTTTGTGTGATTTAGAAAATCGTCAGAAGATTTGTTCACTGCCGTTTGACTCGCATAAAAAGTAAAAAAAATATTCTTTAATAAATATGTGTTTGATATTATATCAATATCTTTTTTAAAAATCATCATTCACTTACCTTTCAAAACTTCGTTAAAATTCCATTATTTTTAGCTTTTTGCTGAAATTAAAAAAATTTAAAAAAAGGTTATTAGAAACCAAACTTTATTTAATAAACTAGAGATTATTAAGAAATTAAGGAAATGTAACATTAAAATGAAAGCGTAATTTCGATTTACAGAGAGTGAAGCACCCTGATTCTCTTACACAACCAGGTCTTTGTTCATCTCTGTCCCCCTGATTCTCTTTCTCTCACCCACGTTGCCCTGCTGATGCTCACATGTGCGCAGTAAATAAAAACAAAAACAGAGGCAAAATCAAAACGAGCAAAAACAAAAAAAAAAAAGGCAAAGCGAAAATGTAAACAAACACAGTCCAGTTATGGTGCTCTTCTTTTTCTTCCTCCACGTGTGTGTAGGGGGGGAGGTGAGCGAGTGTATGAGTGTGTAATGTGAGAGCACGTGAGCGTGTCTTGCTCGCACTTATGGGGAGTTGGGGCCAGCAGCTGGAGTGGGCGATAGAGCGAGCGAGATGAGGAGCCAGCGAGAACAGGACGAGCACGTTTTTATTTTTAGCCAAAATATGCCTTGCAAATTGAGAGCAAAAAATAAAAGAACACACGCACTTATTCTCTTGAAAAGCAAATGACCGCAAGACGTGTTAATGCCTTCCTTTAACCCCCATCCTCATGCCTCTCTTTTTCACTTGATACTTCTTTAACTCCAATTCCTTACTCCGCCCCTCTTTCTGCCGCCCGCTACCCATATCTCAGTTTCTTGCTCTTTCATTTACATTTCCAACTGCGCACGTATAAAATTACTATGACAAATGTCTGCGTATGTAAGTGAGTGTGTGGGGGTCCGAGTTCGTTACATTTCATTTATATATTTTTTGTTCGCTATCTGAGTTGATATAAGTTGGTCAGTGTACGTGTAAAAAACCCCTGCAAAACTTTGACCAAAGTTTAATTTTCACAAAAACAGCTGTTGCTATTTATTTTGGCCTGGCTTTTTTTGTTTTTTGTTTTGCTTATCTGACAAAAACAAACACTTATATAAAAAGAGCAGGTTCAAAGATAGTGAAAGTTTTGTTTTTTGATTGTTCTTTCTAAATTCTTTAAATTGAATTTAATTTGACCTTTGTTTTTAATGAAACTACAGTGCTTACTCTCTGTAGTGAATCCATAGTTCTTAATTTAAAAAAAAAAGTCAAAACATTATTTTAGTAGCATAGGCTTTAATAAAAATATTTTGTATGTTATCTTATTTAATATTTTTTTTTATATTTTCAAATTTGTTTGTCACATAGTCTTCATGCAATGAATCTTTATCCTATAATTGTCATTATTATTATGTAGATTTAATTTAACAATCTGGACACGTGGGAGGTTTTCAGTATTGCGCATTTTATTCTTACCGATCTTAAAGCGATTTTTATTACACGATTCTGCCTATTGTCTTTTTCTTTGTATTTCCTCACAGCTGATTAAGTCAAACAGGTTACAAAAGCGATACGAATAAAGAAGTTCAAAAACAGACCTGTAATACACGATAAATGCCCCATGCAAAGCAGCAACAAAAGTGTTGACACATAGCAAATGCAACGCCACAATTAGAAAATGTGTGTCAATTATATTAAAAAAAAAACTCGAGTAGTTTTCCTGACTTCACAAACACAAAAACAACATTTGAGGGAGTGGAAAGATAGAGATACCGATAGGATGGGGTGGGGTGGGGAAAGAGAGGGATGGCAAGAAGGGGCCAGAGAGCATGATTTGAATTGCCTTTTCAGTAAATGATGTGTGCAGCTGTATGTGTGTGTGTGTGTCAAATAACACCGAAGGGGGCGTCGCATAGTCTCCCAAAGTGTTTCACCTACACAAGTGACCAACTACAGTCGAACTTGCCGAAGTTCAACTATACGTAACCAAATAAAAATTAATTCCATCAATTAAATGTATTACTATGATTGGAAAAATTATACTTGTATATTCAAGATATGTTGTTAAACAAAAAGAAAATTCTTTAAAATAATAATTTATAATATTATGTACCTTCAAACTGTGCCACGACACTACATATTAACATTTCTTATTTAGTTCAAGGCCTTTAAAGCTCAATTGTTATCTCAACTTTTTTTATCTCCACCATTCTTCTTTTCAACAGATATTTAGAGTACAATTATCTTTACTACTTTAAGTTTTAGTTTGAGTTTCATAAAAACCAAAACACAAATGAGCTTTACCATTTTATTATTTAATTTAAAATCGAACATATATCAAAACTTAGGGTCTTGAAAACAAATGTAATTATACGATACATTTTAAAGATATTTCAAGGTCATTAAAGCTCTATATATTTAATAGATTTTATATTACACCTGCCAATTTGGTTTTTACTAAGCTCCACTGTTTGTGTGAGCGATCTTCAATTATTGGCAACTGTGTGTGTGGGTGGTGTGTTGGTGGGGGTGTAGAGCTTCAGCAATTGCGCTGTACTTGTGTTAGTAACTGTGCTTCGGAATTACGTCACCAACACATGCGCAGCTAACCAGCTGAGTGGCCACAAACACACTCGCACCCATACACACACTTGGTACTTAAAGCCATACAATTATTTTGGTTTTTTTTGCACCAACCTTTTTGTTGCTGTAAAAACTTTTCGAAAACTTCCTAATTCCGTTGTATGTTATTTTTGACGAATTTTTAAATCGAAAAACACTCAATTGATTTTTAAGTGTTCATATTTTTAAGTATTCACTGTGGCGGATTTTTGTCGCCTTTGATTTTGTTGGATTAATTGGCTTCTAGTCCTGAGGTTGAAAAAATGGCAGTGGCCACATTTTTTTGGGCGTTCGCTTAGCTGCATTTGAATTCTCAACGCTTTTAAACAGCGCGCTTAGGTATATATATTTTTTTAATGGGCTTATACAGTCCGAGTTTCGCAGGTAAACGCGTTTCAAATATTAGCCAAACAAACTTGTTTGCTTAGATTTTTTGGCCTTTGTTTTTTTCGTATTTCTTTCGGAGAAGTCTCTGCACTTCACACGCGCACACTTCACAAAAATTAAATATATATGAGAATATTATTATTCCTGCAGTTCTTAATTTTGGTTAGCGAATTGTGGTGACGCGTGTGTTCGCCTCGACGTCTCGAATGAAATGAATGGAAAAAAATGAGCGGAGGAGCCAAGCGCTGCGAACCGTTCGCTGCTGCTGACGGCAACTTTCTAAAACAGCTGAGCAGCCAGCAGCGCTTTGTTTATGTATATACTATATATGCATGTGTATATATACTATGTAGGTACCCCTTGGTTGCGGGGAAAACTACGTCGTACATTTGGCTAGTTTTTGTGGTTTATTTGTGTGGCAACATGTTGCTGGCGCTGTCCCATTGGCAACATGTTGCTGTTGCGCAGGCCAAAAAATGTACACAAAAATCATATGGACTTCACCAATACCAAAGCAAACCATCGAAAAAAGTAAATAATCACATATGATGGGCCATGTAAATAGGTAAGACACTAAACCACAACTAATAGTTACAGTAGCACTCAGATATGTGAAAAAAAGTTGATTGCCACGGTTAATTGCCACTTAAGAATTTTTAATAACATATTGACCTAATTTTGAATATTGTTATATATATATGTATGTATATATGTATATATAAACAAAAATAAGCTTAAGCCCAATTTTAATTTATAAACACTTGATTTCACTTCAATCAAATGAAACTTTCTGAACTTGAAACCTGTTAAACATCCATACTTCTCTTTTGTTACAAATTTAATTACTTTGTTAATTAAAAATTTGTTATGAAACTTTTTATCATAATCTAGGTTTAAATTGCGGAACCTTTTTCATTTTAGTGGGGCAAGAGCAATTGTTGTTGCGATAGCGATTCAATAACAAAAGCCACTCACAGATACAGAAAACACAGATACACACACACGTAGATTAAACAAAACAGAAAAAATACAAGGGAAAAAGACAGAGATAGAGAACCCGTTTCCATATGTTCGAGATGCCATGTTGTCGAGTGTTGTTTTGCCTTATGTACGAAAATAGCTGTTGGCTCGTGTATATACAGCGATATATATATAGTATATATACAAGTTGGGTACTTGTTGGCAGATTTCTTGAACAAGAAGACGAGGAGTAGCACCAAAAAAAAAAACAACAACAACAACAACGCATGCGCTTTCAAAGTATATGAGTATGTGCGATTTATATATACGTATATAGCAGGCCCCAAAAATCGTCAGCGACCCAGACAACAGCAACAACATTCAGAATTTATGTTTGCCTGCTCTCTCCCTCTTTTTCTTTCTGCCTATCTTTGTCTTTCATTTCCTCTGTTCTCCTACGATGCGAATCTTATCAGCAGAACCCAACAAAACACACCCATACAATCTGTATTGTACTGCTCTTCTCAACTTGCTGATATGATTTGTACTTGATATTATTTCACTAAGATTTGCCACACATTAACGAGTGCCGTTTTACAGGGTAGTCCTCAAATGAATGGAAAACTAAAATTTTTCGACTTTTCTTATGATTATATAGTAAAGATAAGCATGATTCTTTTACGTTTGATATTAAGGGTCAATTTTAATGCTTTTCTCTTTTAAATAAATGGTTTTCAAAAATATTAATGGGTTCCACAAGAGTATTTGTTTGTCAGAACCAACTGGTCTTAAAAACAAAATTGTTATATCTCAAAAAATAGATGTTTAAAACATATTTCATAATAAAATGGTTTTCAGTTAAAAGAAACAAATATTTGTTAATGTAAAATTGTTACTAGCTGAGTGGTTATTATCAATGTTATATTAATGTAAGCAATAAACTGTTTAAAAAAATAGAAGGCGTTCAAGAAACTTTAGTCTTAAAATTGAAATTAAAATTAAGTCTTGTTTTTTGAAATTGTTTTAACCCAACCAACCGAGTCTCGAACTTGCATTGGAATGCACTTAAAAGAGATATCTTTGACACCAAAATTGTATGCAATGTTGGCTACAGTCGCCAAGTTTCACTTAACCGTTAGCCACTGTAGGTGC